TGTGTGTGTGTGTGTGTGTGTGTGTGTGTGTGTGTCAGGGTGATGAGGCTGTCTCCAATCCCCCTGTACCTGTGTGTGTGTGTCAGTGTGCCCAGGCTGTCCCCAGTCCCCCTGTACCTGTGCATGTGTGAGTGACCAGGGCTGTCCCTCACCCCCAGTATGAGTGTGAGTGGCCAGGGCTGTCCCTGTCCCGGTATCTCCGCTCGTGGCCGGGCTTCTCCGCGTGCCGCCCTCGCTCCAGAGGCACCGTTGTGTTTGGCAGGGCCGCGCGCGGCGGAGCCGGCCGAGCCATGATCGAGGTGCTGGCCAAGCTGGGCCGCGGGCCCGTGTTCCTGGCCGGGGAGCTGCTCGAGTGCGTGATCACCTTCACCAACCCCTTGTCGGCCTCGTCCACCTCCGCCAGCAGGTAGGGCAGCCCGCGCGCCGCTGCTTCGCCCCATTGCTGCTTGCTCCAGGGCCTTAAACTGGCACCAGTTACACTTTCCTGCTCCAGAGGGAGACTAGAGGGAAATACACAGTTTGGGATGCTGAGGGAGATGCTCCTCGCTGCCCCTCGAGTTTGCTCTCAGCAGCAGAGTCACTGGCAGAAAATGAAGCCAGACTGGCTGGGAAACCAGAGAGTCTGGTTACACCAGCACCGCAGGGCTACGGGGCCACCTCCACGCAGTGTCACCGTTTCCTCGTTTCCAGAAGGAACTGTCCATGCCTGGCGCTGCACTGACAGCTCAGGGTGATCCTGCCCCGGGATTGCCCATCAAAGGGGCAAGCCCAGAGAGGGCACGAGTCAGAGATGTTCTCTGCAGCCCAGCCCTTGCGTCCGGCCTCTCTCTCGGTCTTCCCTCCGCCTGTAAGGCGTGGAGGAAGGGTGAGCAGAGGAGCTTCCTGCACTGACTCACAGGCAGAGTGTAGTAAATTCCGCACGGGATTCACCCGAAGGCTCTGTGCCTCGTGGTGCTGTGTGCATGACCTTGACTGCTTCTGCAGGGGCTGCAGGGTGCTTTCTTCCTGTGGCTCCTTCCTGGGAAGTGTCATTTCCAGCTCTGGTTCAGTGCAGGTACGAAGCTCAGGCAGGCATCCCCTCTATGGGACCCCTTAATCAGCGTCCTTGGCTTTCCATCTTTTCTTTCCCCTTGCCCACTGACTTAAACTCCCAGGCTCAGCTATGGCACAAGCTTTTCGCTTCCAGAACCTCCTCTTGTAAAGTGATAGCGTTGTTTTTTCCCAGCCCTGGGAGGACAGTGTGCGAGGGGATGGTCAGCTCCAGCCAGGCTGCGTGCAGAGCTCTGGCTCTGTCCTGGGCCCGAGTCAGGGCAGCTCCTATTACTTGGAAACACACAGGACTGAGGGGATAGAAAGTGGAGCAGTAATGGGAGATTCATTTCTGAATTTCAAAAATTGCCTCATGGAGGAAAAAAAAAAGATTATGTGAGCAAACTGACTAGTCCAGGCTATTTCACATGAATGGAAACACCTCGTGGATGGGTGGATCAGAAAATGAACCTACAGCATAAAAGCAGTAGCCAGATCAAAGTTCAGCCGCTGCAGTAAATAGATGGACGTCTCAAGGAGTAGCTCTCAGGGCTGGTGAAAGCTGCCCTGAATCTAGGCCACTTTCTCTGCTGTGTTTAGGGTAGAACTTGCTTACTACCTTATATATGCTCATATATTTGAAGCACAGGGTAGTAAGCAAATGGCATGCCGAGAATTTGATGGTGATGTGTGAGGCATATGAAAACGAGACCAAGATGTTCCAAATTTTGTGTGTCTGGTTGAAAATAAGAACAATTCTGGGGTATTTTGTTGCATGATACTGAAAAGAAATGAAGACAAGATTCACTGTGTCTGAACAGACAAGAATCCTATGTTTTAAGGTATTGTAACCATGTTAAGGTTATTTAAAATTTTAAAAACTGTCTCTTAAGAGCCTTTGTGTGTTTTCATATAGCAGAAGCGTTATGAACACCTTTTAGCCCCCGCTATGAAAAAGCCACACGTTGAAGATGCAGAATTACAGCACATAGAGGTAGGGGTAGAGAATCCAACACATTGGCAACCAGAGCAGGCCAGTGATCAAATAGTACCTAACTGATGAGCTGAAAGGAACTCGTGATGCTAAAGAGCACCAGAGGAACCAGGCACGGGCTAGATGAGCAGTGCAGCTGTTAAAATACAGGTAGATAAGGGTTTGGAGACTGAAAGGTGTGGGTGATGCCACGGGAAATACCCATGCTGTGGAACACCCGAGACTGTGGTGAAGTTGGAGATGCAAGACTGTTTTTCACCCTGGGCACAAAACAATTCTTGTGACTGAACAGGAAGGCAGCAAAATGACACCTTTGCCTCCCCTACAGCCTCCAGTGAATTCCTCCCAGTGCTTCCTCCTCGGGTGAAATAAGGCTTACCATGGGCATGGAGACTGCAGAGCCTTGTGGCGTTTCCAGCCTCGTGCCTATGGGGTGACGAGCAGAGGAGGCAGCGGGAGAGCTGCCAAGAGCCAAAAGGCAGAGCAGGAAGGGTGACCTTGGCATCGCTGTTGGTTGGCATCGGAGGATCTCTGTGGGCCTTGGGTTTTGTCTGCGAGCCAGGCTTTATTTTGAACCATGTTTGAATCTGCATTCGTGCATTTGCTTTCTAGGAAAAAAAAAAGTGGGTATTGCAGCATTCCCTGCCTTAGGCCTTGTCTTTGTGAGCAGCCAAGGAACATGCTCCTTCTCCCCCATCCCAGCTCCATGCTGCTTTCTCAGCATGGTCCCCCGGGGGCTCAGCCCTCACCCAGTGTTGCTGGTGCAGCTACAGGTGCCCCAGGAGCTTGTGCTAAACACGGGGGTGGCCGAGCCCCAGAGCATCGCTGCACGTGTCACCTCTCAGTCGTGATGGCTACACGTCCCCTGCCCCGCATGGCCCGTGTGGGGCCGCTGGCGATGACAAGGGTGGCGGAGCGAGGAAGGCCCTGGGCTGCCTCTCGGGCCACGTGGCCTCGTGCAGCCCTCGGGGTAGGGGCTGCTGCCCTGTGTTGCCTCCCGTCTTTGCCTTTGCCTGTGTCCTCACTGCTTGTGCCGTGCCCCATGTGCTGTGGCTGTGACTGACACAGAAACCTCGCTTCTAGACGCGGGCCTGCGGGCTCAGCCCGTGGCTGAAGCCCAGGCTTGGTGGCTGTCACACTGAGGCAGAAGTGGCCTTGGTTCCACGACCCAGCTTGGGTTTGTGAGCGGCGCTTTGTGGGTGCCCGTGGCCAGGCCCTCTCCCAGGAGGGGCTGCCGCTCGCTGGGCTCTCGCTTGTTCAGACCCAGCCTAAAGCCCGGACACGAATGTTGCTCCTCTTTGCCCGCAGCGAGATGCTGGCGTGGGCCAGCGCCCAGATCCACTGCCAGTTCCACGCGAGCGAGGGCCGCGTGGCGCTGCCCCCCTCGGCTGGCGGCAAGCCCGACGTGCAGGCTGAGAACGAGACCGTCTTCGTCCCCAACAGAGGTGAGTGCCGCTCCCGTGGCCCTGGGAAGTGAGGGAACCACGGGCAGGAATCGGCCGGGAGCAACGTGTGTCTGTGGGTAGCGTGTGCGGGAATAAAAAGGGGGACTCTGTTGCTTTCCGTGCGAAATTCCTTGATGTGCTGAGATCAAAGTGGTGCTCAGCTGGGGCAAAGCACGAGGGACGGAGCAAAACACAAGGGTTGTCAGTTGGGCTGCTCTGGGAATGTCTCGTGACACGCCTGGGGAAAGGGATCTTTCCTTGTCCGTCCCTTCTCCTTCCTGCTGCTGCTGAGGGCAGCGTGCGGGGCCCGGGCAGGACGAGGGCCCCTCCGCCTGGCCCGGCGGCTCTGCAGAGCTCACGGAGTTTTCCTCTCTTCCAGGAGAGCGGGGCCAGTGCATCCTGTCCACGCCACCAAAGATTCTCTTCTGCGATTTGCGCCTGGATCCTGGCGAGTCAAAGTCCTGTGAGTCCTGTCTTCTCTTCCTCTGCTCAAAGCGTTCATCTCTTGGGAGCCCCGCTCTCACACCAGCTTTGCAGGCCTGGGTGCTGCACATGGGAGACCTGGTGCTCACAGAGGGCCAGGAACCTTGTGGGGAGTGTAAATGCTAAGGAGCTGCTCTCCACAGCATCACCCAGGGTTTGTTCTCCAGAGCACCAAGGCCACGTACTGCAAAGTGTCCCTCGGTTCTGCCCTCTGGCCCGTGTCCTTTGCCATAGGTCCCTTGTGTGGCTGCAAACACTCTTGAACCACCTTTGGCTGCAGCTGGAAGGACAGAAACACCTACCTGCTTTTCCCTGCCTTTTTTTTTCTTTGCCTGCACTGGAGAATTCTTGGAACGTAATGGCATCTTCCAAAGGTCCATGGTTCTTCTGAAGGTTATAGCTGTCCTTCACATCACAGTCTTGCCTGTCCTGGTTTTCCTGACTTTTCTGCCACAGAAGCAAGTACTTCTGATCTTCTCCATCTCGGAGCTCTCCATCCCTTCAAAGCCCTCAGCTATGTTCTTCCACTGGGCCCCCTTTCAGCTGCTCCTTCCTCGCTCCTTTCTGATTTATTCTTCAGATAAACTTTCATCCTTTCCACAGAGACCCCCTCGCTTGGCAGACGTGTGCCTGAGCCTGTCGTTCCTCGGCAGCCTGCCTTTGCATTCCCAAGCAGGGCTCCTGCAGTGTTGCAGCATTCAGCATGGCAGGCCCTGTGCGTGGCGGGCTCTCCAGCTTGCCCTGGGCACGTGCCCTGCCTGGCTGCTGGATGTTCCTCAAGCCTCAGAGCCCCGGAGCAGAGATGCGGTGCCGGTGGAGGAAGGGGGTCCCCCCGCTCCATCCGCCGGAGCCTTCAGCCCCAGGGAGGTGAGAGCAGAGCTGCAACAGCACCAAGGAGACCCAAACTGCAACGGGCTCTTTCTGAGGCCGTGGCCTGCTGCCCTTTCAGACCCACAGGGCCTGCCTGGACAAAGGGACGTGTGTCCGAAACGCCACCTCGACTATCCGGCACAGCCCATCCTTTGCCTCCAGTTCTTTCCCTCCTGAGCAGAAAGGCGGCCGTGCCACAGCAGAGCCAGAGGCCTCGTGTCGGGAGGGTCTCCAGGGGCCCTGTCCCTGCTCCCGGACACACAGGCCCGGCTCGGCCCCCCTCGTGCCAGCCTGCAGCTGGCACATGCTGGCGGATCGGTCCTGGGGGCTCCTGCCAGCTCCGTGGAGGCAGAGTTAAGGCTGTGTGGGTGTGCATCTTAATTCTTCATTTCCTGTTTTCCAGAAGTTTTGACTTTTGCTGCACAGTTCGGAAAGGCAGAAAAAAATACCAAGAAATCTTAATTCTTCTACAGCGAAGTACTGCTATTAAAATATAGCCAGAGCTGGCACGTTTGGCTGAGGTTGTGTGAGGCTGCTTTTTGATAAAAGCCTCATCTGCAGTTGCTTGCAGGCTAATTCTTCCCTCTCTTCGCCTGCTCTGGTGCCTATATTTTGAAGTCGACTCACCTCTCAGCGCTTGGGCGCGTTGTCCAGGTCACGCTCTTTACATTTGTCACCCATAGGCATTTTCTGGAGCCCTCGGGTCATTTCTGTGGCTTTTTGTTTTTACCTCCCCTCCGGTTTGGTGCCACCTTTAACTATTTGCTGTGTCACGGAGAGAGGAGGAAGCGCCGGCTGCCCAGGCACAGGCCGGGGTGCCGCAGGGGGACAGGGAAGGCACCCGGAGCACCAGGGATGCGTTTCCTCCTGGGCCTGGCATTGAGCCTGGGTCTTCCCGAGTCTCGGCCCTTTTGTGCCAGGTAGTAAGCAGGGATTCCTGCCTGGCATTGGCGATGTCCCTGAGCTCCACAGTGTCCTGCAGCTCTCCTGACCCTTCCCATGAAATGCCATGTTTGCATCCCGGTGGGGACAACCCTCAGCTTTAGCTGCACCCCTGCCTTGTTCCCGCGGGATTCCCTTGCCCTTCTAGATGGGAGAGCCTGGCAGAGGAGCTCTGGGCACTGCTCTTGCTTTGGGTTGTTTTTCCTTGGAATCCTGCTTTCTAAATCTGGAAGTTTTATTTAAAACAGAACCCTATCTTTTAATCTAAGCCTCAGAGTTTAGGAAGTGCCTGATTGGGGGCAGGAGCTGCGGTTCAGCAGCAGGACGCTGCCTTTCCCCTGGCAGGGGGTATTTCCGTCACGGCGGGCAGGTGGGCGCAGACTTTCCGCTACGAAGAGGCCCTTTGTGTCACTGCTGTTCCGCAGTTTGGGAGGTTGGGAAGCGCTCGCGCCGCGCTGGGGTCTGTGCAGTGGGTGAGGGGCTTGGAGAGGGCTGAGCACCGTGCCAAGCGAGAGGCCGGTGCCTTGGAAATCTCAGAGCTGCTCTGTGAAGGAGGATGCTCCCTAAGTTACTCCCAGGGTGGTTAATAATTTTGGGCTCCTTGTAGCCACGTTGGCACACAAGGGAAGCCGGCAGAGGCGAAGCCAGGTCGAGCTTGTGCTGGGTAAGCGCAGTCCTCCCGTGCTCGTGTTCCCGGGTCCTGCATCTCCCCCGTTCTTTGGAGGCAGAGCTGGTGCGTGCGGCTGCGAATGCGGAGGCAGGGTCTGGAGGGCGGCACTTGGGACACGGGGCGCAGGAGCAGGGCACATGCCCAGCCTGCCGAGGGCAAGAGGAGATGGTGGAAAGCGCCTTGCCCTGCTCCTCAACTGGTCTCCTGCTCTTCCTGGCCGACCAGGGAGGCGCTGACCAGCAGCTCCAGGACCTTCAGTTTGCTTTTGGAAAGCATTCCCTTCTGCCCCTTGCAGATTCCTACTGTGAGACGCTGCCCGTAGACGGCCCCCCCTCGTTCCGGGGCCAGTCGGTGAAGTACGTGTACAAGCTGACCATCGGCTGCCAGCGGGTCAACTCCCCCATCAAGCTGCTGCGCGTGCCTTTCCGCGTCCTCGTCCTGCACGGTGAGGCCGCCGCGCTGTCCCCGCTGCGCACACGGGGCTGCCCGCGCCCTGCCCTGCCCCGCTGATCTGCTGCCTTCTCCGCAGGCCTCAAGGATTACCAGTTCCCGCAGGATGAGGCCGTTGCTCCCTCCAACCCCTTCCTGGAGGAGGAGGAGGGCCTGAAGAAGGACTCGCGCCTGGCGGACCTGGCGACGGAGCTGCTCATGGTGGCCACCTCCCGGCGCAGCTTGCGTAGGTCGTTCCTCCTGCTTGGTCCTGCTCTCCTGACCCGTGCCTGCAGCGGGCAGTGCCCACAGGCCCATCCGTGTCGGGTTCCCAGATCAGGGCCATCTGCCCAAGTCTGGTGCTAGTGAAACAGAGCTCTGACTGGTGCTGTCGAGCAGCTCCATGAGGACCTGCTCGGATCAGCTCCCCTTTCTCCTCCTTGCCAGGCTCAGAGCCTTCCTATCGCAGCCAGGCAGAGCCTCTTCCCTGGCATATCACACACTGCGTGGTTTCCTTTTGCTCACTGCAGGCTCCCCTCCCTGCAGGGACCTGTCCTGCATTTGCAGGCAGCAGTTGCAGCCTCGTGTCTGGTGGGCTCTGAAATGACCCCAGGTTGCTGCAAGGGGCACTCGCCAGGCTGCAGCCTGTTTCCTTTGCTCCCTCCACAGACCTGTATAACATCAGCAACACTCGTGGGAAGGTGGGCACCTTCTGCATCTTTAAGACAGTGTATAAGATTGGAGAGGACGTCATCGGGACGTTTAACTTCTCAGAAGGCGACATCCCGTGTCTGCAGGTCAGCGCTGGCAAGGGAAGAGCCGTCTTTGCAGGGGTGGAAGAATGAGTTGGTGGCCAGGGTGGCACTAAGCATCACTGGGGAGTCAGGTGGGAGCCACCTGAGGTCCTCGCAGGGTGTGAGGTGGGGAAGGTGGCGCCCACCTCGGGGATGGGAGACCCCCAGGCTGCAAGCAGTGGCAGCGCGAGCGCCCTGCCCCTTGCTCCGCAGTACTCGGTGAGCCTGCAGACGGAGGAGAGCATCCAGGAGGAGTTCCAGCGGCGCCGGGGGCAGCCCGTCTCCTACAGCACGCACGCCCGCCATCAGGAGGCCTGCCTGCACACGGCGCAGAGCAGCTTCAGCCTGCCCGTCCCGCTGGGCTCCACGCCGGGCTTCTCCACCAACATCGGTTAGTGGCCACCGCGGGTGGGAGCTGCCCCCCATGGCTCCGCAGCAGGGGCTGCGGCTCCCCTCGGCTTGCGGGCGGCCCTGCCTTGTCCTGCAAACCCTCCGTGGAGCTGCAGGGCCTGGCGGGAGCTGGGCCTGCATGGGGACAGGCGTATTAGCTTGCCCCCCTGCCAGGGGAGCCAGCCACCCGCTGTCCCTTGTGGTGTGGCACTGCCTTGTGGGGACTGTCCTGTGTGGGACCCACCACCCTTGTGGGGTCTGCTGACCCTGCTCTTGCCCACAGTGTCCCTCAAGTGGAGGCTGCACTTCGAGTTTGTGACCTCGGGGGAATCTGCGGGGACTTGCGTGGTGCGTGGTGGCCAGTCGGAGGCCGTCACCTGGACAGGCGTGGAGCAGATCAACGTGGACACTTTCAGCTGGGACTTGCCCATCAAAGTGCTTCCCACCAACCCCATCCTGGCCTCCTACGTGTCTCAGTTCTCCAGCACCAACTCCATCAGCATCTAAGAGCGGGCAGGGCCGGTAGGAGCCTGCCGCGCTGCAGGCGGGTGCGGATGGTGGCAGGACTGTAACCCACGGGCTGCGTGTGCCCTGCCCGCCCGTGGGCAGAGCAGCTCCCCGCTGGCTGCGGTGCCCGAGCAGCAGCCTGGCGGCTGGGAGCCCCGCGCCGGCTCCCCCCTCACCGGGGCATCGCGGGAAAGAGACCTGCCCGCCGGGAACGGCCCCACGTGCCTTCAGCCCTCGCGGGCCCTCCACGAGAGAGCGGCCCGGCCCGAGGAGAGGAGAGCAGAGCTCCCCTGGTGAAGCCTCGGAGCAGCCCTGCGTGACGCCCGTGTCCCTGCGTGACGCCCGTGTCCTTGCTGCGGGACCCCACGAGCTGGGCTCTCGTTTCCAGGTGGTCCGTGCTTGCCACCTGAGCGGGTGGGACGCTGCTCGCCAGGGAGGCTCTGCCCTGGTGCCCGTGTCCTGCTCCGGGGAAGGGGTGTCTCGTGTGCCCAGCCTGGCACCCCTGCTGCCCCAGCGCAGGCGAGGGCCGGCCAGCCCTGCCGGCGCCTGCGCAGGCTCAGGATGTAGCCGGGTGCTTTGGCCCTGTGAGGCTGAGCGAGGTGTCGATCCTAAACTGAGAAGTACAGAGCTCCCTCTCAGTCAAGAGGTATCCTGCAGGTCTCAGGATCCTTGCGGAGTGGGAGCGAAAATGGGTGCTGTGCATTCCTGGAGCTGGCCTTGAGTTCAGGTCTCCCTGCTCAAGAGCCCACTCCACATTTCTACCAAACTTTCAAAGAGTTTTCCTCTTTGTGTGGGAATCTAATAAATATCCGAAGGTGCAAACTCGATCTTGCACAGAGCCTTTTTCCCAGCCCTGGCACTGCTGCCGCAGGGGAGGGGGTGTCACCGTGCCCCGGCTGTGCGGATGGGGGTGCAGGGGGGGCATCTCTTCCAGCCTCCAACTGCCCCTTGGGCGATGGGAGGCAGGCCCTGGGCGATGCCCCTCGTGCTGCTGCAGGCTGATGGTGACAAGGACCATCAGGAATGTCCCTTGAGCTCAGCCCTGTGCTGAGCCCTGTGGGCACCAGCACAAGCGGGAGCCGCTTGTTCTCCGGAGGGCTGGAGCGGGACAGGCGCGAGCTCCACACGCACCTGGGTTGGACCAAGGAGGCAACCCCGGATACCTCTGCTTGGTTGAATACGTTTATTGCAAGAACAGAAACATCTACACAAGGCTCTGCACAACAGAGGCACGGCACAGCGGGGCGGGCCGGGGGCTGCCGGCCCCGTCGCGGCGCACGCAGGTCGCTCCAGCTCCCCGAACATGAGCGGGACCCCCCGGCCCCCCGGGCTGCCCCCTGGCAATGGGGCAGGCTGCCCGGGGAGGCTGGGGACACTTGCTAGTGGTTTCCCCCCATGCGCTGCCGCCTGCCCAGGGCTGGCTCCGTTGCGATGTTGCCCAGGGTTGGGGCGCGGGGCTGGGGGCTCGGGGATATATTAGTGGTTGTAGAGGAGGGTTTTGCCTCTTGCACCCCAGGGCAGCCCCGTTGGGGACATGGGTGCCCTGGCCAAGCGCTTGGCCCGCACGGGAAGCGAGGAGCCCCGGCTTGTGCAGGGCCTCCTCGGCAGGCCGGCTCCTGGCCACGGGACCCGCTTCGGTTCTGGAAGCTGGAAGCGAAAGCAAAGCCGCACCAGGGCAGCACTAGGGTGTGAGTGGCAGCTCAGTAGAGTGGATAGTGGTTTCCCTCGAGGGCGGCCGCAGTGACGTCTCCAGGGGATGGGGCAGGGGTGGCACATGCAGGAGGCTCGTTGGACTAGGGAGGCTGGTGCCGGCGGCGCGGGGGCCTCTATCTGCCCAGCCCCGCGTCCAGCACCTTGTTGCTGAGCGGCTCGGCGGTGCCGGCCGAGCCCCACTCGCGCTCCAGGCCCTTCACGCAGGGCAGGCTGGGGTTGGCCTTCTGCACCACGGAGATCTGGCAGGTCTGCGAGTCGTAGTGAGCCTCGCACCAGTCGGGGAAGTCGATGGGGTGCTGGGTGCTGCGGGAGAGGGCACGGCACCGTCAGCTGCGGCAGCGGCAGGGCCCGGGATGGAGCCAGGAGGCTCCCTGCACCTCCAGGCACTGCCCGGGCCGCAGCTCCCCTCATCTCCCGGGGCAGAGCCCTTACCAGGACCACCCGCCCCACCTGCCCCCGCTGCAGTGGGTGCCCCGGGCTGGCCCTGCTCCCCACCCAGCAGCGTGAGGACCAGGGTGACCCCGCCACCCGGAGCACCCCGGGACCCCCTCTGCTCTCCGCAGCCGCCACCCCGAGGCCGGGGTGCTGCCCGGCCCGCGGCGCTGCCGGCGCCGCTCACTCACGTCTCGCAGCAGCCCACGCCGACGGGGTGCAGGCAGGTGCACAGCAGGCAGTTGGTGCTCAGCCACGACTCGCCCAGCGAGAACTGCTTCCCCTCGTACTCGCACGCAGCTGCAAAGCCAACAGGGGCAGTAAGCCAGTGCCCGGGAGCGTGGGAGCCTCCCCACAGCCCTCTGCCGCAAAGAGGGGACACGGTGACATCGCAACACCCCTCTGCTCAGCATTGCAGAGGCTGCTCCGTGTCCTCTCCACCCTGCTCCGCAGCCGGGCTCCCTGTGCTCCTGCAGGGGTGGGAAGCCGGGGTTGCTGCCGAGAGATGTTCCCATCCATCCGCCCCGGCTGTGCCCTGGGCTTTCCCACTGCCCTTGTGGCCCTGGGACTCGAGGCCACGGTGGGTGGCTCTTGGGGCACACGCCACGGCCATTGGAGCACCCCTGCACCGCTGGGAGCAGGTGGCACCAGCCCTTGCCCTTTGCTGCCGGTCCTGCGCGCACAGCCCTGGCCGGGCTCCTGCCAGGAGCTCTCCATGGCCCAGCGAGCAGTTTCTCAGCCAGAGCCCTGGGGAGCTGTTCCGTGCTTTATAGACTGCTCCTTCCAGTCGTGGCCAGCCTGGCGCACGCTCCCGAGCTCAGCACGGCCCGTAGTGCTGCAGGGGACCGCCCCACCGCCCCGAGAGCCCAGGGGAAACCAAGACCTTGCCTCCCCAAGCCCGTTACCTTTAGCCTGGAAGTAGCATTTGGCCTGGGAGCCGGGCAGCTGGAGGAGCAGGGAGAGCAGCAGGCAAAGCCTCCCCCAGACACACGCCGTCCTCTGCGCTCTCGTGGCCATGGCTGTTGATGAGCTGGGCTTCTTCACCGTCCTGCTGAGGCTACCTTCCCGCTCTCTTCCCTTTGCTCCTTTCCCCTCTTTCTCTCTCCCTCTCTTTCTCTCTCCGCCTTTTTAATGCTCTTCTCCTGATCCCAAGAAGAGATATTTATAAAGTTCAGCTTTACGACCCTGGCCACCAGCTGTGCCCCACTGGAAAAGTTGTAAAACTCATTTCCTGATTTGAAAGGCATGAAAACAAGAGGTAGGATCAAGATTTTTAACAAGCTGTGAAAAGCTGATTCATGCCCTCCAGAAATGTCTCCAGTTGGAAGCCCCTGTGGGCGCAAGGCTCTGCGGCGAGGGGGGATCCAAGGACCCCAGCGGGGCTGCCCTCGGCAGGGTTGCAGCCCTTGGCACAGCACCAGAGCAGAGCGCTGGACTCCCCTCTTGGTCACATTGAGCCCTCTCTAATCCATCAAAACAGCGGAGATCTCAGGAGCATCTTGCCTTGCAGGGACCGAGCGATGTGCCAGGGAGGCACCACGTCGGATGCTCCAGCCCAGCTGTAGCCACGTTGGGCATGCAGCTGTAGCCCTGCAGGATGCAGCGGCACGGCCTCGGCTGGCCCGCCTTGGACTGCGGGAGCACCGGTTTGCCCCTTCTCCAGCCCTCCAAGCTGGGCCCATGGATATCCCCAGCTTGGCCGCTCCGGCCAGGCCAGGCTCGCAGCCCTGAGCACACTAAAGGACGATGGCCGGTTCCTGGGGACGACAGCGGGCTACGGGACAATGCCCGTGTCATGGGGAGCGTGAGGACGGACCTCACAAGGCTGCCAAGGCCCCAGGGTCTTGCAGCCCAGCCTGTGAAGGCAGCAGTGGCCAAGCGCAGCCGGAGCTGAGTCCCACTGGGGACTGCAGACTAAATCCCGCAAAAGCCAGGGGCAAGGCAAGATGTGCAGGATGCAGCAGACAGCTAAGAAACCAGGAGGTGAACGTAGGTTTGGACCATCAACCAGAGAAAGAAGCAAGGAGCTTGCCTGGAAAGCCACAAGAAGAGCCCAGCGCGCTGGGGGACACAGACAGCACCAAGCCCTGCCACCGTCCCGCCACCATCCCTAAGGAAATCTCTTTCCCAGGCTGGCCCCATCTGCCGCAAAGGGATACGGTTTTCCATGGCCTGAGTGGCCATGGAAAAAGGAGAGGAGTGTTGCAAGGGGCAGGAGGCATGGATCCTCAGCCCCGTGTCCCCGGGGCGCCTCCAAGAAGAGGGTCGAGTTACCAAGAGAAATTTGCAGCCCTCTTCAGGAGCAGCAGCAGGAAACGGGGCCCCGGGGACAATCCCAGCACAGCTCATCCTGGGATGCTCTTGCAGGAGCAGTAGCCTACATGGGTCATCCGCTCCTAGGCTGAGCTTCCTTCTCTCTGAAAGTTTGGGATAGGTTTACACCCTGACGCGTGAGGCTCAATATCCCTTCCAGAATTTGTGTTGGCACCCACTGTTATAGCTGGATATTTTTGTTATCCACATAAATGTCCGATGCCTGCTTGAATCCCACTAAATTTTGGCCGGGATGTTTTCCTGTGGCAGCCTAATTAAGCAGGGAGTGAAAGAACATTTCCTTTTATCCGTTTTGGATCCATCACCTGATTTCAAGGTAGGTCCCAGCCAGCATCAGCGTGTTGAGTGCTCGGACACCAGCCGACCCGGAGAAGAGGATTATGTGCGAGATTGTCGGGGTCGGACCGCAGGGGACGGGATGTCACCTGGGCAGGGATGTCATCGTCTCCAGGATATCGTTGTGGTGGGATATCAAGACATGGGAGGACGATGCTGTTGAGCTCCCTGGATAGAGGACCCTCTAAAATCACCTTGCTGGAGGCACAGAGATCTCCTATAGGAGCATGGCTTTGCTTAAAGTGTGTATTTCCCAACACAACTATTAAACTAAAGGAAAAGTGGAGAAGTAGATGGCAGCAAGTAAAGCATCACTTGGAAAAGGCTGATAATGAAGAGGATAAGCTCAGGGTAGCCGTGAACAACCCAATGACTGCAGGAGGGAATGGTGAAGGGTGTCAGCAATGAAGAAATTCACCCTTTGGTACAGAATTGTTACTGCATAAGGCAGATGAAAGCGTCCATCACTGGGGCAGTGGAGGAATATTCAAATGCAAAGAGAAGTCTGGTGCGCTAACAATGAAAGAACCCACCACTATTTCATCATGGGGTAGAGAAAATCCTGAACAAAAGCAGTATTTTTAATCTGGAG